CGAGTAGGATAAGAAGGGGTGCAATGTCAGACCAGAGTAAGGAAAGGAGTTACGAGACTCACCCCCGGTTCTAGTTTGCGGTCACATCGCAAACATTCTTTTTCTTGACTGCCAGCAGTGCTGCCAGCATGGCATCCCTCTGAGGCTTTATATTGAAAATTTCAAGAAAAGTTCTGTAAGACATAAAGAGTACAGAGCTCAAACTCCGTTGTGAGGGCTGTACGTTTCGCCCTCGCCAACATTTTAGGGTACAGTACCCGGCACGTTGCCGGGACGGCGTCGGGTCGGATCTGGATGATAGGTACTTCCGACAATGTCGCCGCCCGCTGTTGCATACAGCAACAGGAATTCGTCAGCACAGGAAAGGCGCCAGGGCTGTTCGGAAAAGTCACTTTCCAGAGGTCTTCACGAGCCAAACCTTGCGGTAACTACTTCCTCTCTACCGCTGACGTTCTCTCTCCAGTGAAGTCTCTTGCTCTTGTATGATGAGTCGCTCTGAAAGCCTGCGAAAGAAAAACGTTTCAGAAAGACAACGGGACAAAAAAAAATCTGTGCTACTAGCGGCTATAGCTGCTTTAATTCTAGAGGATGATTCTGTCAATCTGGTGTTTGCAAAATTGCAACTCGAGCGAATTTCAAATGCACACCGGGTTGCGCCACGGCGGGTGAACGCTGAAAGGCAAAGGACGCATATAAGTTTCGAAGAGAGTACTGCATTATATAGCAATGAAGAATTCGAGCGTGCATTTCGAATGAGCAGGCAATCTTTTTATGTTGTGCTGGAGACGTTGGTTGATGACCTAAGGAGACGAAAGGCACGAAACACTGTGAAACCCGCCGCAAGATTGGGCATAACACTGCGCCTTCTTGCCCGTGGCAGCTATCTAGATGAGATGCGGCACTATGCCCTTGGCAAAACCACTGTGTACGCAATTTTCAAAGAGACAAGGGTTTCTCTGCTTCGCAGATTAACATTCCCAGACGTTCTGGGGTGCCACGATCAACTGCGGCGGCTTGCCCAAGAGTTTAAAGTTTCTCGAAGGAGCGCGAATCCTTTGACGGGATGCATAGGGGCTTTGGATGGGATATGTGTCAAGGTCAAGCAGCTGGAGACTCGCTACGGTCCAGTAGGATTTTATTGTAGAAAGGGATACTATTCTGTACCAGTTCAGGCGCTCGTGGATGCCCGCTATCGATTTGTCATTGCATCCGCAGAGTGCACGGGGTCAACACATGACTGTCCAGCGCATTCAGTGTCGTACTTAGGCGGATATCTGGCCGTAGGTTTGCTACAAAATGAGTTTTGGGTAGCAGGGGACGAAGCGTAGGCTTGTGATGAAAGCTTACTAACTCCTTATCCTGCATCTCTACTCCAGGGCCACCCATACTGCGACGCTTACAATTTCTTTCAATCTTCCCTGCGTATGCACGTTGAACAGGCTCTTGGATATCTGGTTAACAAATGGAGAATTTTACGGCAGATGGAATTTTCATTAGAAGTCGGCATCGAAATAATTATTGCCACCATGAAGCTGCATAACTTCTGCATTAACCAAAACGGTCGGCAACACCGTATTAATTTGTACAGTTCCGATTCTCTTGCAACGTTGAGGGAAGACAGTGATGACTGGTATCGTGCCGCCAAAGAGGACAACTGGCAGATTGTGACAATGCTCCGCGAATCGTAAGAGGCGGACTTCGCGCGAGGTGCTTCTAAACGAAGGGAGAAGATGGTAGCGCTTCTGGAGGGCCGTGGCATCCTTCGACCTTAAAATGCAGGTAGGAAGGTAACTGGTACTAGAAAAAAGGTAGTCGTCCGCAATGGGTGGGGTGGTGGTCGAAAAACAAATCGTTTGGCATTTTGTAAGTTCAACATGTCATAATGGTAATGTTTATTGAGCATCCTTTCTGCTTTCTTGCTTTCACGGCACGCCCGGGGTAACACAGTTTTGTCTCCAGCGGCGCGCGCGCGTGCGTCCCGGCCCGGAAGTGCAGGCCGCGCGGACAAAGGAAGGCGCGCGACGCGCAACGGACGGCGCGCAATCTCGCCGCAAGATCTTTCTCGGGAGCGCATCTCGCCGGGCTAAGGGGGCTGTTCCCCACGGCAGGCTTCCTCACGAACGTCCTCATGGGGGCGTTGGCGCGGGCCGTCGTGTGGTATGACCCCCCCTGGGGGACGTAATTAGATTAGATTGAGAACCAGATCAGCTACGTGTAGTATAACCCCCCCTGGGGCATTTTGGTTTGATTAGATCAACAACGGGATCCAATACTGCAGAGCCCGATGCTCTACAGTACTACCGCGCGTTGCCACGTGTACCCCTCGCTACAGGGCGCACACGTGCACACGTGTACCGCTCCGGACGGAAGCGCGCACACACACGTGTACTGTCAGCCTCGCTGGCTGACAGTATGACAGTACGGTCGGATCTGTGCTACAGTAGTCCACTACAGTACTTCGGTACTGTAGTGTTATAGATTGTTTTGTATATTAAATATGGAGCTGACCGGCGGCCGTCGAGGAGGACAAGCAGGGACTTGTCACCCACCGACCGTCAAGGTCCGATTTCCCGCTTATTCTAAGGTAACGCTCGCTAACTACCTTAGAGCCGCACCGAGCGCGGGTTGAGGACTTGCGCGGTACGCCCACGAGCCGGCTCCGCATCCTCCCGTCGGTACTGGATCGTTACCCAGTACCGCTCCGGGGCGTCGAGGCGTCGAACCACTCGCGCGTACCGGCGTCCTCCCCGTTCCCGCTCTATCACGCTACCCGGGCCCGCTGCCCAGTGCCGGTAGCTGGTGTCCCGCTTCACCCCCGTCTTCCCGATCGACAAGGGTCTCGGTAGAACTGTGCATGCACCTCTATCGCTGGGGGTGTTTATGCTACAGTGGTCTCCCGACCTAGAAGACCCTGGAGTCCGATCTCCGAGAAGACTTCCGCTTCCCTCGGCAAACCGATCGCGTCGAGATGAGCGAAATGCTCGAGCCCTCGATCCGCTCCGAAGCGGCGGATCTGAGTCCGGCCGCTGTGCAGTCCCCATCCGCCCCGTCGGGCGACGGCGACGCAGGTCCTCGTGACCGCGAACCGTCGCTCGGATCTTCCGAGGAAAGAGGGGCGGCGATGTTCGAACGCATAGCCGAATACATCGAGGAAGTCCGTACTTCCCTTCGGATCGATGTATCGGACCATGTATACACTCGATGTATGGCCGAACTGCGCTCCCTGCGTGAAGGGAGGTTCGATAGAGTGACGCAGTCCTTAGAGAATCTCCGAGCACTGATCGACGAGTTACACTCGCGGATAGTGCTCGTCGAAGACTCCCGTTTCGCCTTGCCCGGACCGTCCGGGCAAGGTCGCCCTGAGAGGCCTACCTCCGTGAGACGACCCGAGGACCGAACCTCGCCGTCCGCAGAGCAATTGGGTGCGTTCGCGCACCTCTCCGCTGAGCTCAACGCCACTCGTCGGCGTGCTCGTGACATGGAACGTACCATGGCCGAAGGGCTACCTGGTGCCCCCTTGAGAGGGCCCGGTGGTACCGTACCTCCGAGCGCCGCCGCCCCAGAAGGTTGGCGTCCGACTGGTGCCGCTACCAGTCGGACTGCAGAAGGAAGCCGTCCTCCGATAGACGCGAACTTCGCGTCTGAGACCCAAGCCTTGCCCCCTATCGCCGAAAGTAGGCGGCAAGTGGACCGCGTATCGTACGCGGACGAACAGGACCGTAGAGGAGCCGCCCGCGGATCCGGAGAACCGATCTTCTCCGTCGATCCCCGCTGGGGCGGCTACCCGCCGGCGAGTTACGCCGAGCATCCATCCCCGGTAGACGTCCGTACGCTACCGGTTACCTCCTTCGGCACGCTGGGTCCCGCTGAACCCGGGCTCGGGCCGGTATTTACGATGATCCAAGAGTTCAGCGAAGTTGCTGACTATCGTATGTACCGCTTGGGTAACACCTCGAGGCTCGTTACCTCGGGTGACGCGGGACGGATCGCGAAGTACGTCCAACGCTGTCGTGGGATCCGTCCCACGATGCGCAGCTTCGACGGTACCGATCCGATGCAGCTGCTGCCGTTCTTGAAGGATATCCGAATCACCTTCAACTCGCAACACCTGACCGAAGGTGTTGCGGTACGAGTCCTCACCCACTTTCTCGAGCGCGAACCGGAGCGCCTGTATACGAGTTATACGATGCGTGGCCTCCGCGCCGGCCAGCTCCATGACGACGTGAGCTGGCCGGGGCTCGTGAATCAATTCTTGAAACGCTACCTCACGGACGACGTGTTAGGTGAAGCGCACGACGCTGTCGCTACGGTGTAGTGCAATGCGCCTGTCAGGCAGAGACCAACGTCCGACGGTCCAACACAAACAACAGCAACAAAAACAACAACTGCCAACGGCACAGCGCTACGGAGTGTTCGAAGCTCCCTGTCCTCTTTAAGCGGGTTTGCGGCCCGCAGTAGCTCGGATCCCTGATAGGGGGGCAAAGAGAAGGGCCCAGCCTGGGATCGGTAATTGGTGGTAGAGACTTGTAAAGGCAACGGCTCGACGAGTTCGAAGGGGTGTTTAGGTAAACCTGGTCCGATGGGTCGTAAATCCAATGCTCGAAGAGCGCCTTGTACACCTTATACCCTTGATAAGGTCTTCGACGGGGACGTCGCAACGTAGCCCGTCGGGAAAGAAGAAAACGTAGCAGCGCTACACCGTCGTACTGCCCGATGGCAAAGTACCAACAACGGATCGGTCGCAACCAGATTCCGATGGAACCAACACTGAGAAAAGCACCACTGGTGCACCAACACAGAAGCCCGATAGCAAATGACGTCACGTTGCGGATCGCAATCCTACAAGGTGGGACCAACTCAAGATTAAGGGAAATTAGGATAGGGAAGTAAAGGAAAATGGATAAGGAAAAAAGGGGACCCCCGAGCGCAAAGGATAAAGTAATCTGTAGTTAGAGGGAATGTCTTGTAAAAGACGGACTTCAACCAAGGCGATATCAGACTCTGGCAACTCGGGTTACCTTTACTGACTTGGTCGTCAGAGGGCTAAGGTATATATCGCCCCGCCGGAGCCAGTACAGTAGCTCGCGGCGCTAGATCCTAGATCTAATCTAGTGTCAGCAAAATTAATGCCAACTAATTAACTAAATAAAATAAAACAATTAAAAACTAAAACTGTGCAATTATTCACACGTGTGTCCCCCCCCAAACCCGGACTACTTTTCATATCCAAATATTTTCCTTTCTTTTCACCCCCCTTTCCAGGTGCGTATTGCACTACATATCCCCCTTCTGAGCGTCCTTGCACATCGGCTACACTCCTTGATCTCCAACTCCTTCTTCTCTTCTCGACCCCCTACTTTTCCATTCCTGACCGACGGTCTCCGCATGAGCAAGGACAAGACGAATCCCACGTGTCCTCCACCTCCTGAGCTCGCGGGCGAAAATACTGCCCGTCGACGCACCGGTGTCGGCTTCGCGAACAAGTCTCGCGCTTCCGTCGACCTCCCTCCTATACCCCGACGTCCCCCTGATTCGGACGTCTCCAACCCGGCCTTTCATCCAGGTTATCATCCCTCTTGGGTAGCCCGCCACTATCCCTCGCTCGAAGAGCTAAGGACAAAATCATGCACGAACATCCTTCTTTATTTGCCTCGGCCCAGTGGTTCTCCTCCGTGGATATTCGCGACGTTTCCAAAATCGAACACCAATTCGCCGACGACGCGGGCATGCTTCCCGGTAATCTCCCGGTGCTTGCCATCCGCTTCTTTGACTGCCGAACCCTTATAGCAGTTCCGACTTCCATCCTACGTCATTCTCCCCCACGGGGCCGTCCCACTCTCTCCCTGCGATTTATGGAGGCCGTATTCGCTCGGCTTGCCATCCCCATTTCCGACACCCTCATACCCTCGTCATACGGTTGCGACACTTGGCGTTGTCGTACAGAGGGCGAACGCCTCTATTTGGACAATCTCATTGATATCACCTTTGGTGACCCTGCCGCCGAGGCGGATCGCCTGTGGCGAAACCGACATACTGTCACATCCGATGCCATCTTCTGGACCGAACCCATTATCCCTTCGAATTTCCGTCATTTAAAACGCGGGGCTATTTTCTTCTTTCAGAACACAGTGCGTTTTGAACGGCGTATTCGGTCTGATACGGGGTACTTCATCGGCTACGAAATGGTAGAGGCGCGCGAGATTTCCCGTCAGCATTATGCAAGTCGTTACCAGCGCATCCCCTCATGGTGGAGCCAGTACGAGGTGAGTCAAGGCTTTTGGGCCGAAATGGGACCCATACTCACGTACTATGGCAGCTACCTGCGGGATCTGCAACACAGGTTATGGGTGGTCTTCCTCACAGAGTGGTGCGTCAAAGTAGCTGCGACCCTCTTGTGGGAGACCTATGATTGCTGGCGCCTGTGGCACCTCCCCGCGAAGCTGATAGCACAAATGCGTCTATTGGACTTCTCTGTTCCTCTGGGTGGCTCTGATTTCAATCGCGAAATACGCTCCCTCCTTTATACGATCGAGGGCGTGGATTGGGACTGTGTACCTCCGCAAAACTCCTCTCGATCCTTCAATCGCCAACGTCCCTCTTTCTCCCCTGGTCGAAACCACCCAGCCGCGGGCGACTTCGTGTGGTTCAACCCCGGGTCATCGACCCTCTGCTCAGCGTGGGAAGCTCAAACGAGCCGTCGATTCGGAAACCAAACACCGGTTCCCGACGTCACCCCCATCGTCACATCTGACCCCCGGGAGCTTCAAGTATGCTCCCGTCCTTCCTCTCCAATTCCTCCTCGATCGGCTATCCCTGCTTCCCCGCGCGCAGCCCTGGCCTCTCCATCCTCGTCAAAGGCGCCCCCAGCTGTCAAAATTCCCTCGGCAGGCCACACCGAAACATTGTCGGTGAGGGAAGTGATATCTCCCCCCCTGTCTCCAACAATTGCCAAAAATACCCACGACGTCACGAGCATATACTGTGCCTTACTCCGCACTCACGGTGTTGAGAGAGAGGCTCTGCAAGGAGCCTCGATTAACGACCTGCGAGTTTTAGCTCGCCTTGTGTCATCACTTCCAAAGGGCAAATCCTTTGGCAACCCTCCCGTCTGAGCTGACGGGCGCGACACTTCCCTCGTGATAGCTTGTCGCATCTCTATCCTGCCTGCGTGACGCTGAATTTGCGACCTCGTCATGTCGCCTTTGATCCGTAAATTGAAATTTCCTGCGTGCCCCTTCGTTCCTTCGTTTCCTGCTCTTTTTCTCATTGATGCCCACCCCGTCATAATCACGGTGACACCCTTATACCTCCTTCCTCCTTCTCTTCACCTCGCTACTTCCTCCTCTTTTTCTCTTTCCTTTTCTTGTTCCCTGCGTACCGTCACTGCGGTCGTACCCCTCTTTTCACCAGCTTCCTCCTCTTTTTCTCATTACCGTCTCCCTTCTCTTATCCATTTTCCGTGCACCTCTGCTACTGCAGCTGCACATCCCCAATTACCTTCTCTTTTCCTTGCACAACCCTTCTTCTGCCATCGTGTTGCACGTCTCCTTTTTCCACCTCCTTGCTTTCACTTTCCCACCTCTCCGAGTCTGTCCTCGTCTCGTACTGTGTTCCTCCCTTGGGGACTAATTTATCTCTCCGGGTCGCCTCATCGGCCGGCTAGGATACACGTTGTACCTTTCAGGCTGACGAAATTAAATTGTCGCAGCGGCGTGGATGATCGGTCAGACTGTGACACTCGAGAATGTGAGCAGAGGTCCTCATTTTGCTCCCATTGTGCGTCTGCATTTAGCTCTGTCGCCGACAGCTGCGCGATCGCCTGTAATTCTCTTTTCTTGCAATTCTTCAGGCTCCTCGAGGCGATTCTTGCTATCGCAGCGGGGTGGCTGTCGCCATCGTCGAGTTTGCCGTTCGTGTCGAGTCAATACGAAATCCCGTTCGTCAATTTTGCCGGTGATTTCGTTTTCGAGGCTTCTCGGTGGGGTCGCGGGCGAAGATGTCTTTGAGTTGTAGGATGCAGGTGGATCGTCGTCGACGATTTCCTCCTTTTTCTCCTCATTTTACAGCATACGTCCCCTTCCAGCTGAATGGCATCTACTTGCTTATATTGTCGTGAGCGTATGAGACGGCGCGAGCGACGGTGTCATCATGATCGCGAGCCGGCGGCTCTTGCGTGGGGTCCTTGGTTGGGATGTCCTCACAAACAACCGCTTTCAAGGAGGACTGATGCGGCGGAGGTTTGTCAAGATCCTCCCTCCTTGTAGATCCCGACGTCCGGAAGTGACGACGTCTGCGACTTGTGATTTTATCCTCCCAACGGAGTTGAGTGGAAGGGTTCCTTCTCTTTCTGGAATTTTATCCGAGTCCAGACAAATATACAGCCGCTTCGGTCGGGTTTAGTTTGAGGCTTGTAAATAGTACCCGCCAGTTTCGCTGGTGCAAATGTTGCATCGTGAACGATACACCTACGTTCTCATGAGACAATAACATTTTAGTTGCCCATTCTTGTCTCGTCCCACGATTTGGGACGTCTTTCCAAGCCCTCGATCCTGGCTGAAGGCTGCATGAAATAGAGTACGATAGCACTTGCGGAGGCCGTGAACTTGATCTTACCCATACTGACACACGCGTCCGCGCATCGTGTCGCTTAACTGTCTGGAAACCCCTTTGAATCATGGCCTCGTCAGGTGCGTGGGACTGCACTCCTGTAGTTCCGGGCTCATACGTCTTGACGACAGCAGCAATGGAGATATCGATCACTGCATTTCCAGGCTCACATCGCCCGACAACTTTGGTTCCGTCAGCAAAATGTCCATACGTGGCAGGTGGAGCGAGGCACATGCGACAATAGCTACGTTTCCCCTGCTCAGTCGCGTTCTCTCGACTCAACGAGCTTTCTTCTTCCGCTCGTGGCTGCAGCATGCATCCCGCTGGGAGAGTTTATGAAGGGTTAAATGTCTCCCGCGTTCGCTCTTTCATCACCATTTTTTTTGTCGCCGGTTGCACACAAAAAATAACGCCATATCCTTTTTCCTATCCAAGAATGATTCTGCTGTCCTTCAGGGAAACAAAGCGTCGCTGTTACCGCGTCTTTCTTCTTGCGGGCCGGTACCCCCTCTCAGGGCCATCGCGGAACCCACACAATTGCGGATCGTGTGACGAGGTCTGTTTCCGTCGCCTTGCTTATGTTCTCAATATACTGACGTGCGCTCACGAAGACTTGCGTCCGTTTGGTGACACGCCATTCGTCTCCCCCGGTTGCGTTCCTGGACTTCTTACTTATGTTAACAAATAACCCCTTGGCCTCTTACCTTCAAATGATAATTCCGACGGCCCGTCGGAGCACGACCTTCTTTGAGACGCTCTCGTCCTGAGAGAGGACTGTTACCACAGTCGAAACGCAACGGAATTCCGCCATCGGCGTGTGGGTGTAACATGGGAGATCTGTTCAACCGACCCCTTGCAAGGGTCGGGTGAGTGATCCTTCGGTCAAATAGCTGCGTTGTAACACACACAAAAAAATGTAAGTGCAAGTGAATGACGTCGTCTGGACAGAGCGAACCTTCTCTGTGCTCGCAATTCGTCTGTGCACTTGTCCCAAAATTACTCAGCGTCCCGTGCGCTCGTCGGCGACACTCTTTCCTTAAAATCGAATAAAATTCCGAGTGGTGTCCTGTGTTCCCCTCCGGCTGTGCGACACTTGTCGATCTTCACGGGGTGTTGTTGAGGTGGACTCGGAGGCGTCCGGAAGTAACAATTCCCAAATCACACTCCGGAGTATCTACTGTAGTGGCTCATTCGAGGTCTTGTCCGACGGCAAATATTCGTCCTTCGGACTCTCCCCGTGAGTCGTGTCGCGTTCCTTCATTCTTGGTACGCTCCTTCCATGCCTCCGACACTCGTTCCTGCCACGCCTTCGGCCTTGTCGCCTCTCACATCATCCACTTCCTCCCGCTTCGCCTCGCCCGCGTGCCCGTGCGCATTAATTGCCTCATTCCCATATCTCCTTCCTCAACCCCCCCTCGATCCTGGGGTCTCCCCTTGGTCTCCATTTTTCCTCCTCTTATTCGCGGCAGGCATTCTCTTCCAGTTTTGTCGTCGATAGATACACGGGCGACCGTATTTCTCTGTCTCTCTCCATCCTCTGAGCTCCTCGCGGCGATCCTCTCCGAGCTGCCCGCACGGTTGCTTCAACCTCGACGTTATTTTTTTTCATTCTCCCCT